TTTCAGAAAAATTACCTTCACTGTAAAAAGCGTATGCCTGCATTAATTTGTACTTAATGGATGAATTGTTCTACTGTACTGTTTTTTAATTCTTAAAAACTCATTAACGCTGAGCGAGGTTAGGTACGTACATGATAAAAATATAGTAAGGTAGAACCGCTGAGAGTCACTTTTAAAAATCTTGACGTTTCCAAACAATTTAATTTTTAAATTTACTCACAAACTCACACACACATTTTCATTTTCAATCTCAAGCAACAACAATTTCGAACAATTTCATTTCTTTATTTTCACATTTATATGATTTTAAAATGTTGGCAAACTTCAAAAAAATATCATGGCCGACAAATTGAGAGAACGGTTATACCTTGCTATGTTTTTATCATGGGTACGTATGTACATTAGAACGTAACACAAAAATCTAAATTTGTTCCAAGCGACTCTGAATACTCGTTGTGAAGGTAAATTTTTGTTTGGCACCCCGTAAACAGCGTGACCAGGTTGGCATTTTTGCAGCTAGATCTAGCATTTTTATTCTTGATTTAGCTGCAAATTTCGTATTTAGTATTTAGCATTTTGTCTAGCATTTTAGAATTTTCTTTTTGGTATTTTCTAGCATTTTTTGTTTTACAATATCACTTAGCCAATATAGTTATGTTCTATACTATATATTATATAACTAAGTTATATATAATATAATACATAACTATATTGGCTATTGATCTCTCCTTCCTCTATCCATCGAAGAATTCTAGGTGGTGGGCCGTGGTCGGCCGCATTCTTTAGGAAATGCTTTCAATTCAAAGATTTAAATACGAAACTTTACTTTTGGTAGGTTTTGAAGTATTTTTGTAGAAAAAATTCATGTATATGGGCAATTCTCACAAACTTCGATTTTTTTTAAGAACAATTTTTTTTTTTAATCATGAGCACATGTCTGAAATTTTTAGTATACCTTCCTTCAGTTGCTAGAATACAAAATCCAACGTGGTGCAGCGTTTTACAGCAACACACAATACGTTTTTAACATTTTTTACGTGTTTTTTTTTTTTGGAAGTGGAAAGTCGGGTTTGTACGATTTCGAAAATTTTCAACATATAGCTTTTTCATGCCAAGGTCAATAATTGCACTGAGTTTGGTACAAATTGATATCGGTTATCGAGATACACATACAGTCAACCAAATAAAAACTGGGACGCGACATTTTAGTAAGTTTTGGCTATTTTTCTTTACTTTATTTAACGCTTATTATTTTTTTTTATGAAAGTATAGCTGATTACTTAACAAACAAGACATAAATCAAAATTTCAGACTTTGTGCGAAAATTATGAAAATTCTGCAAAGTTTGACCAAATTTTGTAACTTCTTGATCAGCGTCTTTAGAAAACAATTTGGTATTCAGTTTTGAAGCCCATCAAATTTTAGTAAAGCAAAGTGCAAATTTTAAGTATCTTAGACTTACGGTTGGTTTTTGGCAATTTTTTGTTTTTTGTTGGCGGTGCTCCGCATTTTTTTCATATAAAAAAAATTTTCGAACATAAATTGTCAAAAATCAAGGGTAAGTCCAGATTTTCGAAAATCGAACGAACGGTGCAGATTTGATGACATGGACAAAAAAATGCCTTTGGGTATTAAATATATATTGTTTTTTTTTTTTTAATTTTTCTTACTTATTTTTCGCTCTGTAACTTTTTAAAGAATAAAAAAGTGGTGCACGAGGATCATAGTTCAATAGTATATTTCCAATTGCAGACGATGTGCTAATAAGAAATATGCATTTCCAAATACTACCAGTTAATTATGAACTCAAACATGAGCAATCAACGCATCAAATTTCGCAACGTGAAAATAAAAAAAATAATAGGTGAGTCACACTTTTATTTGTGAAAATTTCCCAATTTTATTTCTGAATTATATGCGAATTTGACTAGAAAATATGTACGGTGGTCCTTTCTTTGGATTTACATAATCTACATAACATATGTAAGCTAGTTTTTGTTAATAAACCAGCGAAAATTATGTGTCCGAATAAAAATTGGCGAGTCATGCGAAAGTTGTATAGTAACCCAAAAAATTGAAAGGGAGCACTGAATCGAGAGCGTAATAATACGGGAGAGCTGGAAATTCTTGTTAGTGAAATTTTTAATAGCAGAAATTAGCTAGCAGAAGAAGAAGAAGAAGAATTACAGGTATATTCTGCACGTTACGGAGATTTTGTAACCGGAAAATCTTATTACCAAAAAACGTTACCAGTTCTTGTCACCGCGATTCTAGGTACGTTGGTAATGCAGTTAAAATATTCAGCAATTCAGCTATGAAGAATTGTGCAAATTCTGGCATTGCATATTTCACGGGGCAATACTTTGTTACCAGCTTATGAGTTGGTAACAAAATTTACCGGTTACAAGATTACACAAAATGCGAAAAAGGTTTAAAAATTGAGAGTAACTTTATTTACCGGTTACAAACTTTTTATTACCAGGGCAGAATAGACCTGTAAATGTCAAAAGCCGCCATTTGTTGAATTGGCTAAGCATAAACAAAAGTAAAATGAGTAGAAATCAAAATATTAGTGTGGTACAAAGAGTTTAAAACTGATTTATAAATAGTAAAATGTTTACAGCAGAATGTCAAAATGATGCAACAACTATTCACTTGCAAGTTTTTACTAGTTTTGTGTTCAATAACTTTTTCTGCTTCTCAATTTTACGCTCTATTTTGCTTTTACGCTCTCGTTGCAATTTTTTACTGGAGAAGTTACTATACACACTTAGTAATATGCGGATTTAACTTGGGTCCGTATTGAAAGGTTAGCTCACCAGGGGGGGAGGGTCTGTAACCAGTTAGCGACAATTTTCGGATCGCTATCGCACTTGTTCACGTAAAAATATGCATATCAGTTTTATCTTCAACAGCGACATTTATGTCATCAAAAACTGAATTTCCCTTAAAAATGCATAGCAACAATCCATTTTCGATGAGTCTGTGTTACATATTTATGTACATATTTCCATGCGTGGAAACAAAGAAGCAAAGCATAACGAAAACAGCTTTCTAGAATCTGGATTTTCAAGTTAGAATACTCTTGCGACTATAAAGCGGTCAGTTACTAAAAATTTAAACAATAACTAATAAAAGTTTCAGTTTTACATATGTATGTACATACATCTGTACTATTAATACATACCTTCATACGAGTGCATACTGAAATTTTAAAAATAATAGGGGTATTCACGATCCGGTGCATACTGTCTAGCATGGTGCACAAATAGCATGATTGGCGAATTTTGTTGTTGTTTGAACACATGCTAAGATGTACGAAGGCGCAATTACGGCTGCAAACATTTCGCCCATTTACTTCAATAGTGGCATAACCCAAAAAATATAAATTTTGAGTTGAGTATGTAGAAATTACCGCTACCTATACTTCGTAGCTGTATAGATTACCAGTATCTCACTATTAGTCTAAGATCCGACAAGGGAACGACTTACAACAATCTGTTGACATTTTTTTGTATAAAATTTAACGGTTTAATAAATATTTCGCTAGTGGGTTGGCTGAAAAAATCCTGGCTAGGATAGTTTTAATAAAATATTCAAAAATTATTATTATTATTATTATTTTAATTTTGTACTCATTTGTTTAATGAACAAATTATATAGCCATCGAAAGTATTAAGCCTATAGAATGCGAAAACGTTGGGTTGTCTATTTTTTTCCTGGCCTACATATCGGGTTGGCAGGTGTGAACAGGTAGGTAATACTAGAAATTTTCACTCATCTGTCTAACATATTCTATAGGCTTTATGCTTTCGATTGGTATATATGTTGGAACAAATTAGAGTTCATTAAACCAATGAGTGGAAAATTAAAAAAATAATAATAAGTTTTGAATATTTAACTAAAAATGCCCTGGCCAAGATTTTTTCAGCCAACCCACTCGCGAAATATTTCCTAACACGTTAAATTTCATCCAAAGTAGATTTCATCCATTAAACAGATGGGTGAAGGTCGTGCGCTTGTCTGATCTTAGATTATAAGACTTTCAGTAAAATATTTCGGAAAAATATTAAGATTTACGTGAGCTGGACTGATTTGAAAATATCTCCAAAAATGGAGTATTTTTATGAATAAACATAGTTTCTTAAAAAAAAAATTTCTAAAAAGATCCCCTCAGCTGATGCTGTTTTTTCAAATTTTTTAAGCTAAACTGTTTTGTCATTTGAGGGGATTTTTTTTTTTTTTTAACTTTTTAAGAAACAATTTTCATTCATAAAAAACTTTAAACCATATAACACCAAATTTCCAACTTTGTGCAAAAAACTATAAAAATTAATTCTGCAATGTTTCACCAAAATTTCAAACTTTTTAATTAGAATCTTTAGAAAAAATTTTGTTTGCAGTTTTGTAACTTATAAAAACTGAGTATAATAAAGTGTGATTGGAAAGTGCTGCTCATTTGCGTCACTTAAAAAAAAAAGGTCGAACATACTTTGTATGAAAAAATGCGTAACACCGTAAAAAAATAAATAAATAATGCCAAAAATTAGTGGTAAGCCTTAGCGACTTATAATTGCACTTTATTGTACTAAAATTTAACGAATTTTTTTACAAATTTTACGGAGTAAAAATCTCGAGAAAATTATCCTAAAATTTGTGATGTGTCTAGGATCATTGAAGAAGGCTGTAAGCTGTTGTGGAAAAAATTAGCTAAATTTTTTTTTTCCCCGTATTCGGCTCTCATAAATATGGTCACCGTAAACATATGTATTTTTGTTTTTTTTTTTGCAATATTTTTATTGACGATTTTTATAATTTTTCCATTTCTCATTATCAGCAGATGCTGAAGGAGGAAAACCTCGATCAGAAATTCGAATTGACGATCGCAATATGTACGAGTATTAACAATTGTCAGAGTATGTGAAGTGACATGATAGAGAACCACAGCTTCAGATACGAGTACTCCAACTCGGTAGCGGTAGCGGCATCGGTATCGGTAACGCTGCTTATTATAGCCACACTCAGTTGATCACAAATGCTTGAGCGCGCCGCTAATAGATACGTGCACGGAGAAACGCCACTTGCTTGTGAACTTGCTATGTGCGTAGAGTTTTTGTGTAGAGTTTTTGAAAATACACATATACGTTTAAAAATAATAAGCTTCGACTTGCGACTCGTCATTTAAGACTAAATTGTCTAGTAGGTTCCTAAAAACCTGTTGTGCGTATCCATGTGGAATGAGTAGTGAATAAAAGTAATATAATTTACATATGTATGTATATGTACATATGTATGTACAACAAAGAATTTTAAGTAATTTCTATGCAAATGTACTATGTGTAATTAATCGGGTGCATAGATATTTATTAGTGAAACGGTAAATGGAAATTTTACAACGAGCTTTTAGTGATATTTAATGAGTGTAAAACAGAGCTTTAAATGAGCAGCGGTTCAACTCAGTCACGAAAAGTGGAAAATGGTGTATATTCAAGTACTAGTTGTACATGTATATATGTATAAATATAAATAAAACCATTAAAAATAATTTAAAAGGGTATAAAAAAAACCCTACATACATATGCATATGTATATATGTATGTGTGCTTGTTGATATAATTTAGTATGTCTACTATACTAACTGATGTGATTGAGTGAAGTTGAGAAAATAAGCGGAAGATGAGTTTTGCTATGGAATGCTGTTGTGCTACGTAGAATAAAACCAGTTACATTGGAATAGCTCGAAATACTTTCAACTATAAAAATAGAGTTGGAAAACGAATAATAAATACCAGAGAATAAGTAATACAAAAGTAAGTCTGAACTGGAAGAAACCGATTATGATACACTTTTAGTATCAGACTAGACATTGTATCTACATACATACATACGAGTAAGTATGCTCGTTAATCCAGTAACAATCGGTCGACGTTAACAGTTCGAACCGAACGTTATCGTTATCAGAGTGCAAGAGAACTTGACAAGCAATTTAGTAGTTTCGCTGTAATTAAATAATTTTAGAGAGTTGTTTAAGTAAAACTACCACTTTAACCTGCAAATATCAATCAGGTCAGGAGTTAAGTCAGTTGCCGTTTCAATTCATGTACACCCTGTATCTACATATAAACGCTATTCCGAATCTTCGTAAAGCATCTGAACAACAAAATTAATGTTCGAATGAAAATCGTTTCAAACTTTCATTTCAAAATTTTTCTTCTTTTTGTTTAGCGCTGTAACCCCCTAAGCGATTTTGGCCGAGTTCAACAAAGCATGCCAGTCGTTTCTCGTCTGTACCAACAGATGCCAATTCGAAATGCCAAACGAAGCTAAGTCTTTCTCCACCTGGTATTCCCATCACAAAGGAAGCCTGTTTCAACGGATGCAATCAAGACCGCGTGAACTATTTATATCGTCTGCGGTACTCGCAGTCTCCCACGCGTAGAGGCCCGTAAATATTGCGCAAAATATTTCTCTCCAATGAACCGCCTTATTAGATGTTATCTTTGTCTACACTTCTGCGCCATACATCAGCACGGGCGTGATGAGTTGCTTATAGAGTGTGGTTTTCGTACGTCGAGAGAGAACTTTACTTCTCAGTTGCCTTAATCGTCAATGCATTTCTAGACTGGCATTGTTATCAGTGTTAATACTGATACTCTGTAGCTCTTATAATCTTCTCCAACATCAGATTAAAGTAATCGGGCGAACGAGAATGTCTCTGTATGAAAAATTCGGAGTTATCTTTCTCAATACTGACGAAGCTGGCACTATTGTTCAACATGATTTTCCACAGTCGTATTAGCATCGCGGGGATACACAATTCAGAAATCGCGGCTTAAAGCCAACTTCTTTTCGTACTGTCAAAATCGACTTTGAAATAGATAAAGAGAGGCTTTAAAACAATACGCTTGCTAATATCTTGTATGCAATGTTTAAGAGGCTTATCCATCGGTAGTTGTTGGTTGGCTTATCAGGTGCTCGTCGTCATATTTGAATAGCTGATTTCTAGGATCTTTGAGGGGCACTCCTTTCATAGTTCCATTATATTCTGGACATAGGTCACGACATCGCAGTAGCTATTAATTTTCTGTCCAAGTTGTATGGCGTTTCTACTGTTTGACAGCATTTCAAGCTATTCGCACTCACGTATTTTGGCCTCTCAATTTTTATTATAGAAACCATGATAAAAACATAACAAGGCAAAACCATTGAGAGGCAGTCTGACGCATGATAAAAACATAACAAGGTAAAACCATTGAGAGGCAGTCTGACGTTTGCCAACAATATAGTTTTAAAATCAAAACTCAAACTCACACACACATTCACAACAACAATTGTGAACAATTTAATTTTTTTATTTTCAATTTTATATGATTTTAAAATGTTGGCAAACGTCATGATTCAATAATGAAAGGTTTTGTAAGAAAAACTTTCTCTCGCTCTAATTTTATCAATGACACTCCCACCCTACTCCTAAAAACAAAAACAGTGATATTTCTTTTCCAAATATCTTTGCAAGTTTTAAGAACATTTTTAAATTGTTAGTAGTGAAATTTTTACTTTTTAAATTTGAAGAAATGTTGGTTCTTCATTCGCTGGCGCCAACAAGACAAAATGGTTGAGCATCGTTGGACTACAGAAATTCAATGTAGGCTAAAAAAACGAAATTCCCTTAAATGCCGAAATATATTTGTCGATATTCGTGGAGACCTCTTGATTCTGCCAAGTCGCTGTAAAGTAAAGCATGCAATGGTTTTGGTAAATGAGCCAACGAAGGTATCCTGGTGTCTCCGAATGAGGCTTTGACGCAATATAACATTGCCAAACCGCATCCATAGGCCCAATCGTCACACGACAGTTCGGTTTAGTCAATGGCACGATGTATGTAATTGCACACTTAAAAGGTTTACGCACGAGGCGAATGTTGGCTGGCGACCAACTTTGTTGAAAGCGATTAGTTGAAAGTAGAATGCAAAGTTGAACAATGCAAACGCCTTTTTTATGGCGAATATTTTTATATATTTTGATATTTTTAATCATTAAATTTTTTTTCGGGCAACCCGGCGAATGGTTAATATTCTGACAGTTGTATAGTCTCCCCAGAATATTAAAAGTGCGACATCAAAGAATTCGAATTACCATATTCGAAACAATCGAGCCATATCCGCGAAGGAAACGTAAGCTCCAAATTTTTATATTTGCCGTTTTTTTTTGTTTAATAAATACTGCATATTTTCCACAAACAAATAGCTTCTTCATATCCATCATCTGGCAAACAAATACAACAAAAAAAAAGCTGAAAGTGGACCATCCTCCATCCATTCTCGAGTTATGCGCCATCTGACGTACGCAAGTTTGGTATATACATAGAAATATTTATTTTCAATAAAATCGGGGGTTATATTCGATGTAAATAAGCTTGTTTAAATTAAATAATTAAATCAAATTCGCTTTTGTTTTAAAATACCACCATTCACTATTATCCACACCTTTTTATGGAATTTAGCTCCCATTTTAGGAAGTGTGATTGAATTCTTCCCCTTTTTCTCCTGCTTCCATAAACCATCCCTGTGGGTGGGAGTGCCAAATTTTAGAAAAAAGCTACTTACAAAACCTTTAATAATTGAATCATGGGCAAACGTCAGAAAAAAATCATGGCCGACGAAATGAGAGAATGAATTTACCTTGTAATGTTTTTATCATGATAGAAACTACGTCAAAAGTCAACAGACAATCCACAGCCTTCATTCAAAATAAATTAGCAAGGAGAACCAAAATAATCATTGGGTGTTTTAGTTAGTGATGGAGTTCTCAACATATGTATGCAAGCAGCTATGTTCAATTTCCAAAACAAATATTTTTACAGCCGTGATCTGTAAGCGATTCTCCCCATCTTTCCTGTATTCTACTTATACTTATAGACACACATTCATGCGTTCTGCACATACCCTGCAAACCATTTTTTCAAAGTATTCTGAATTGTACAGAAGTTTTAATGAATTCGTAAAGATCTCATCCGATTTTTTGCCGAATTTTCTAAAATGAAATAAACTGTGTACACTTCGATTCTTTTACGAAATTTCGGACGAAAATCGGTAAAGCAATGAAAATAATGCTGCTATGTGAAGAATTTCTTGTAGAATTTTTTCAGAATTTTCTTTATTTTTCGTACAGAAATTTCTTTACGAGTTCGTGTCAACCCCTTCATATAATTTTCTTTGAAGATTCGTAAAAAAATCGTTACAGAAATGAGATACTCCTAAAGATTTCGTTAAGATTTCGGGAACTTTGGTTTGCAGGGTATGTACGTACACATATACAGTGATCGAAAAAATTCTATCCGCATCGTATAGTTCGTTCTTTAACGAAAACTGTGTAAATTTGGTTTAAAACTTTGTGCAATGTTAAACGAATAAAATCAACAAACTTTCGTACAAATTTCGACCTTTTTAAGTATATTTTTTAGAAACATTTTGAGTATGCAGTTTTAAGGCCTATTCAAATCTTATATTAATAAAGTGCAAGCTACAAATTTTTACAAATTTTCTGTGTTTTTTTCAGAATGTTGTTGGTTGCAGTTGCTTCCATAAAGCGAATACACACATTTTTTTTTGTATGGAAGAAAACCGTACCATCTCCGGCAAAAAAAGTCTAAAAAATAAACGGCCATTTTTAGCTATTTGCAACCTCCACATTATTGTGCTAGGAATTAATGGGCTGCATAACTGCATACTCAAAAAAATCTAGTTAAAAAGCTCGAACTTTTTACGAAAGTTTGTTGATTTTTCTTAAATATTGCACAATATGGCAAGCCTCCGAGTGTATTTCTGTCATGAAAAACAGATTCTCATAAAAATACAATCGCCGTTCGGAGTCGGCGTAAAACTGTAGGTCCCTCCGCTTTGTGTGACAACATCAAGGCGCATGCCACAAATCGGAGAAGAAGCTCGGGCAAACACTAACATTTGTGTAAGCGCCAATCTATTATTATTATTATAACTAAAATTAAGTAACAAAAAAAAAAATAAAAATTGTGATATAGGTCGTTCATAAATGCATCGCATTTATGTAAGTGTACACACGATCACTTTAATATTCGCTAATTAAACTCTTAAGCTGTGGAAAAAACTGGTATCGTGTTTAAGCGGAAAGTGAGATAAAAAAAATTTTGCATTTTACATTCGAATTCGTATGCACATGTGAAAGTGTGTATGTACTTGAGCTTATTTTTTGCGTTATCAATTCTCGGAAATGTATTTAAATACATATGTATTGGTAGAAGCACTTTAAAAATTCTCGCCGATCAAACACAAATACATAAATACATTCGTACACTGGGTTGCCACTGACGAAAAAAAATACTTACCATCCACTTGAAAAAATCTACCGAACCTGGAAAATATCTACCAATAACTGTTTTTAATAACTTTACTTTAATAAAAACTATAGTTTTGTTAATTTTTTTGCTATTTCAATAAGAATTAAAATTGTGACCCAAAAGCTGTTTGGTAATTTTTTTTTAATAATTATTTTCAAGAAAAATTGTTTTGGTATTTTTGTTTGTTTTTTGTACAAGAATATTGTTTGCGTTTCCAAACATTTTCGTCTACTTCTTACTCTGAATTTTTCGAACACTTTAAGGTATGAAGTTTTATAGCCTATAATGTTTGAGTAAAACCTACAATGTGTAGCTAAAAATTCCAGTGATTTTTTTAATTTTTTGCCGCCAGCCTTTGGCTTTTTTTTTTCATTTAACAATTGTCATTGATACAAAATTGCGTTAATTAAAAGTTTTCGTTTGGAAACAATCACA